GGCCTTGAAACTGCTCGACCATGTCCTGAAGCAAACCAGGTACTACAGCCACATCACCTTTCTTAGTACCTGCCTACGGAACCAGATCATCCCCAATGGACTACAATCCACATTCAAGCCTTCCCAATTTGGCCCCAACCGTGACAATATTTACATTCATGGCATTGAGATCCTTCAGAAGCGTTTCTCCCTGCGACTCCTGAAACTGATTTTCTGATGAAGGGTCGAGGCCCGAAACGTCAGCCTTTCTGCTCCTATGATGCTGCTTGGCCTGCTGTGTTCATCCAGCTCTGCACCTTGTTGTCTCAAACCTACAGAATATGGTTGTGTCTTCAATCTTCTCTTAATAAGGATGGACAGTAAATACCAGCTTAGCCAGCAATGCTTACATCCTATGTACAAGTAAAACAAAAGCCTCATGATAAAAACATAGAAGCAAGATTCTACCCTTCAAGCCTGCTCCACCATTCAATAAAATCATGTCTGAAATAAAATCAATATACTATGTATGCTGGAAATCTGAAATAAAAGTAGAAAATGCTGGAGAAGCTCAGCAAGCTTTTTTTCTGAAAAAGAGTCATATCGGACTCAAAACATCAACGCCGTTTCTGTCTCCATAGATGCTGCAAGATCTGCTGTTTCTGATTTCAAGATCCTGGTTGATCTTATGATCTCAATTCTACTTTTTCCTGTTTCCCCGCAAGAAACCTTGACTCCACTGTCCATCAAAAATGTAACTGTGCTTTCAATGAATTTGAAAGGGCAAGGTTCCACTACCATCTGGGGAGGGAATCTCTACACTCTAACAATTTCTTTTCATCTGTCATAAAAGGGAGACTTGATTTTAAAGAGATCTACAACATAAAAAAGCCCTTTGTCTTATTGTATTTGCACCAGTCAAAAATAACCACCTAACTATTCTGAACTCATTTTCCAGCGCTTGGCCCAGAACCTTGTATGCCTTTGCATCACAAGTGTACACTTAAATGTTCCCTTAATGTTATGAGATTTCTATCGCTACCACCCTTACAGGCAGAGTTCCAGATTCCCACCACTCACTGGGTTAAAAAGTTTTTCCTCACGTTTCCTCTAAACTTTTCAGCCCTTATAATAAATCTGTTCACCACCCCCCACCCCCACCCTGTCATTGATCTCTCCATCAAGGGAAGAAGTTTCATGGGTGACATCCCCTTGTTTTAGTCTACCCCACAAATGTTGTCTGTAGATTTAATTGGTCATTAAAATGTAACCTTAAAGGCTTAAAATGTATAGCCTGTTGAGGCAGCAATGGATTTCTACAATGATGAAATGTTTTGTTTCACCCTGTCTCAGCCTGTCCTACTGGTGAAGCTGTTTGTCACCTCCTTACTCAGTTATTCCAGTGAACCTCTAGGCAGTCTCCTCGTTTACCTGCCCTAAATTTCAACACTTCCAAGCTCTACCCCCACAATCTATCCTGTACCAAGTCCTACTCACCCATCACTTCTGTCTGTACAGAGCTACATTGACTGCTTATCCGCAAACGTTCTCCTTGTTTATATTCTCTTCATGACTTTTCAAGTGGGAGGTAATGATGTAGTTGTATTGTCATACGAATAGTAATCCAGAGAACCAGATGATATTCCGAGAATTTGAGTTGAATCATACTACAGGTAATGGTCGAGTTGGATCAAAAAATTCGGCAGTAAAAGACCAATGATGACCAAGGAACCATTATCAATTGTTGTAAAAATCGACCTGGCTCACTAATGCTCAAAATGGTTTTGAAACCAGTCAGCATTTGGCACTGGAGATGTGAATGACAAATTGGCCCTCTCAATTGTCAGTAAGGGAGTCATCCTCAATAATACCTGATGTTGCGTGCCAAAATTGGGAGAGCTGTTTCATAGATTAGTCAAGAAACAGCCTCTCATAATCACACTGATAGAATGCTGTCTTACAGACAAAGGCCCAATAACCACCATCACCAGCCCTAGGTATGCCCTGTACCATCGGCAAGACAGACCCGGAAGAAGTGGTGGCACAGTGGTACACAGTCAGGAAGGAGTTGCCCTGGAAGTCCTTAACATTGACTCCAGATCCCATAAAGTTTCAAGGCATTGTGTCAAACATAGACCATGAAACTGCTGACCGTCATCTGACAAATCAGTTATCCTCTTTGTTAAACACTACTTGAATGAAGCACTGAGAGTGACAAGGATGCAGAATGCGCTCTGGGTGGGAAATCTCAATGTCCATCATCAAGAGTAACACAGCATGGATGATCAAGCCGTTCAAATCTAAAGGACGTAGTTCTTAGACTGGGTCTGCAGCAAGTAGTGAGGGAACCAACAAGAGGGAAGAGCAGTCTTACCCACAGCCCTCCCCTGAAGATGCCTGCTGAAGATGCACCTAGCCGTAACAGTGACAAGTTGGAGTGACCACTGCAGTCTTTCACGTTGAGGCTACCACTGTGCTAAATTGAACAGACTTGGAACAGATCTAGCAACTCGAGACTGAGCATCCATGAGGCACTGTAGGCTATCAGCAGCAGCAGAATCATGAACCAGCAATCAGCAACCTCATGGCCTGGCAAATCCCCACTCTACCATTACTGTCAAACCAGGGATCAAGCCTGGTACAATGGAGAGGGTGGGAGAACAGGAAGCACCAGGATACCTAAAAATGAGATGTCAACATGGTGAAGCTACAAAATAGGGCAATTTGCACGCTAAGCAGCATAAGTAACAATTGACAGACAGAACAAATTTGATTCCCCTGACATGATATCAAGAAACGACACTAAATACTGCAAAGGTTTGTAGGCCTGACAACATTTCGGCCATAGTACTGGACTTGTGCTCCAGAACTTGTCGCACCCCAAACAAAGCTGTTCCAAAACAGCTACAGCACTGACATTTACCTTACAACGTTGAAGACTGCCCAGATATCTTATACGCAAAAAGCATGACAAATCCAATCTAACCGATTAGAGCCCTGTCAATTGATTCTTAATCATCAGTAAAGTGCTATCAAGCAACACTTTCTGAGCAATAACATGATGTGCAGTTGGGGTTCTGCCAAGGCCACTCAGTTCCTCACCTTATACAGCCTTGGTTCAAACTTGGACAAAAGAGATGAATTCTAGAGGTGAGCTGAGATTGGCTGCCCTTGACTTCAAAGCTGCATTTGACTGAGTGTGTCATCAAGGAGGCCTGACAAAGCTGGAGCCAGTGAGAATCAGGAGAAATCATGAGCTTATTGAATGTTGGAGCAATCTCGAGGGGTTAAATAAACTTGACCAGGTCTTATTTCTAACATCCTTATTAATTGACAACTTCATGGTGACTGTAAGTCAACTGTATATTGTGGAGCTGCAACAAAGGTATTAAATGGCACTGAAGCAATTTTAACTCTGAGAGTTATGAGCAAGCTCACAAATAACATGATCAAGATTGCGAGATAGAGATGCAGTGATTGCAGCAGAAGATTGATTGCTTGGGGACAGGTTTTTCAGTAGCATTGCTGATGCCAATTATGAAAGGATGAGAGGTGAGGCTCCTGAATATGGAAAGGAATTAACATAGTTAGCTAGCATTAGAGACAGCACAAAATGTTGTTGAGTGGTCAGTAATTAGGTGGAGAGAGAACAAAATAGTTTGGAGGTCAGTTTCTGAGAGGGATGAATTCCTGCAGGGCATTGAGGTTGTTGGGGGGGCGAGATGGATTTGAACCTAGGGGACAGGAAAAGAAACATGGAAAAGGAAGTGGAAGGTGGAGGTGGGGGTGGGAGAATATTTAGGAGAAAGAAAATCACACATGGCCGGGAAGAGTCTGATAGCTTGGCCGGGGTAGTGTTGAATTTGGGCAAGATATGTAAAATATCCAGGAATATGGTAAAAATGTAAAAACAGAAATTGCTGGAAAAGCTCAGCAGGTCTGGCAGCATCTATGAAGAAAAAATCAGAGTTAATGTTTCGGATCCGGTGACCCTTCCTCAGTTCTAAGGAAGGTTCACCGGACCCGAAACGTTAACTCTGATTTTTTTCTTCACAGACGCTGCCAGACCTGCTAAGCTTTTCCAGCAACCTCTGTTTTTGTTCCTGATTTACAGCATCCTCAGTTCTTTCAGTTTTTACATGGAAAAAATAGTTGATTACAAATACAAGAGGTAGAAATTTAGGCATCATAACTGAATAGAAGTAATCATACAATAATGTGTCCAATGTCAGTGAGGCAAGTTGGGGAGCTTACACCTGCTCTCACCTTTTCATTTTATTCTGTAATTTTCTCTTTCTCTTTTTCCCTCCCTCTCTCGTTCTGTCTTTTATCCTGTTGAACTTTCTCTGTCCATTCTTCAGGTCATCATTGCTGCTGCTTGCCCCTCTCCTCCAAACTGGAAGCTTTGAGATCTAGATTCCATTCAAAAAGAAATACTTTGGTATATTTAGGAATGTATTGTTATAAGTGTTGAAACTGACATAAAATCTATCTTTAATAACAGCTGGATTCTGAGGCAAGTGACAGTTTAAAAGATCTACAAGTGAAACTGAACAATGTTCTTGATGATCTTAGCGATGTTTTTGGTGTTAGGTAGGTAATTTTAACTTTTTACATTTATCCGTATTATAAAGTTTGACATACTATCAAATTTCCAAAGTTATTTCAATAGATTTAGTCCCAGAATCTCAAAATCATTGGGAGATGGTGTTATTAAAACAATTGCATAACTAGATCTTGCCTATTTGCAGAGCTTAGATTGAGATTCTGTTCAATTAGCTGCCTATGTTTGGGCATAACAAATGGTTTTAGAAACCCACATTTGCAAGGGGAGATCAAGTCGTCATCTTTGTTTTGATCAGTATAATTCCTACTGAAAAGGTGGACCATGCTGAGCTGAGACAGTCCCTTCAGTAAAATAACCCAGTGTCACTGTGACGACTTTTAGATGCGCTTTAGCAAGTTAATAGTTAAATCTCTTGAATTTCAATCAAGCAAGAAGTTGTTTAATTTCAATAGGGACGAGATGAACAATTCATAAAAAAGAAAGAGAAAGCAATTGAAGTGCTATGATTTTAATGTTCGAAGTACAGGTATTTATATTTTTCTGAATTTTCAATGTCAGCTGCCTCTAATGTCAACAGAAAAATGGATTTCACTTATTTGCCTCTTTAATTGTACTTATTTGTGAGAAGTGATACAGCAAATACATTCTGTCACGGTCTTTCATCTTGCAGTCATGGGGTCAATTTGCAAGAAGTACCAGTGGAAATCAAAGATCTGAGCTAGGGCGGGCTATTCGGCATATCGAGCCCACTCTATCATTCAACATGATCATGGCCGATCCTCTATCACAACGCCATACTCCCACTCTCTCCCCTCTTGTTACCTTTAGCCTCTATAAAACAATTTTTAAATATTTTAAAGCATATTTCTTAAACATGTTCAGTGACCTGGCCTCCATAGGCTTCTATGATAGAGAATTCCACAAGTTTTCCCTCCTCTAAGTGAAGAAATTTCACGTCATCTCAGTCCAAATTTGCCTACTGCATGTCTTGAGACCATGCTCCCATGTTTTAGACCCCATGGCCAGGGGAAAAATCACCCCTCCATCCAGTCAGTCTTGCCTGTCAGAATTTTACACTTTTCAATGAGATTCCCCCTCATTCTTCTAAACTCCAGTTTACATACCCAGGCAACCCAAACTCTTCTCATGTGATGAATCTGCCTTCCCAGAAATCACTCTGGTGAATCTTTACTGAACTTCCTCCATGGCAAGCATATCTTTTCTTAGATAATGAGACCAAATCTGCACATAACACTACAGGTGTTGTCTCACCAAGGCCCTGTAAAACTGCAGTAAGACTTCTTTGCTCCTATAGTCAAATCCTCTTGCAGTAAAGGCTCATGTATGATTATGCTGTCTCAACTGCCTACTACACATGCATGCTTACTTTCAATGACCAGCACAGAAGGACACCCAGGTCCCTTTAGAAATAAACATACCCTAATCTATCACCAATTAAATAGTACCACACCTTTCAATTTTTCTTACCAAAGTGTACAATTCACTTATTCACATTATACTGCATCTGCCATGCATTTTCCCACTCACTCTACTTGCCTAAATTGCCTTGAAGTCTCTTTGCATCCTCCTCAGGTTTGTGTTATCAGCAAACTTGGATATATTAGATACGATTCCCTTGTACAAATCACAGATATATATTCTGAATAGCTAAAGCCCAAAGTCTGATACCTGTGGTTTGTTATTTAACCACCTTCCACACCAACAAAGACCCATTTATTCTGACTCTATTTCCTGTCTGATAAACAATTCATGTCAATATGTTACTATCAATCCCATGTGATTTGATTTTGCACAATAACTTCTTATGTGGGGCTTTATCGCAAGCTTTCTGAAAATTCAAATTCACCACATCCACTGGTTCTCCCTCATCTATTCCAGTATTTACATCCTCAAAGAATTCCTGTACACTTCTCAAACATGATTTCCTCTTTCATTAACCATGTTGATTTCATGTCACCCTGTCGCTTTTTTTTAATGTCATGTTATCACATCATCTATAAAAGTCTGTGGCATTTTCCCAGCTACTGATGTTTAAGCTAACTGCTTTCTCCCTCCTTCCTTTGTTTTTTTTTAAAGTGAAGTTATATTTGCCATGTTCTAATCTGCTTAGACTGTTCCAAAAACTACAGAATTTTGGAAGATGGCAATCAACGTAGCAATGATTTCCATTTCCTCCTCTGGGATGTAGATTTATGATGCTCTAAGGATTTATCAGCTTGGTGTCCCCTTAATTTCTCCAGCACTACTTTTTTTTCCCACTGATACTGATCTTCATGGACTTGCTTCTTTCCAACAGATCCTTACTTACATAGCACTTCTTGAAGTTATTTGTGTCACATTCTATGAAGACAGAACTGAAGTGTTTGTTTAATTGTTCTGCAATTTTCTTATTCTCCATTATCAACTTTCCCATTTCAGACTGTCTTCATTAATCTTTTTCTTCTTATAGACCTATAGAACAGTTCTGAGGAAGGGTCATCAGACCCAAAACGTTAACTCTGTTTTTTCCTTCGCAGATGCTGCCAGACCTGCTGAGCTTTTCCAGCAACTTTGTTTTTGTTCTTGGTCCTCCTTTGCTGAATTCTCAGTTCTCAGGCTTGCTGCTTTTTCTAGTGACTGTATAAGACTCCCTTTGGATCTAACACAATCCTTAATTTCCTTGGTTAACCACGCTTAGGCCACTTTTCCTCTTGCGTTTTTCTGCCACAGGCATGTGAACAGTTGCAATGCATGCAGTTCTTCCTTAAACATTAGTCATTGCATTGCCACTGTCATGCCTTTCTGTTATTCAAACTATCACAGCTAACTCAGCCTTCAATCTTCAAAACTCCTATGAAAACAAACCTAGTCTGTACAACCGTTCCTCATAAAATAACCTGTTTATTCCAGGTATTAATCTAGTGAACCTCCTCTGAATGGCCCCCAATATATTTACATTCTTCCTTAAATAAGATCAAAACTGCATTTGAGGTATGTTCTCACCAATGCTCTGTAAAGCTGAAGGATAGCATTCTTATTTTTATGTTCAACTCTTCTCATAATAAAGGGTAGCATCTCATTAGACTTCTTGATTGCATGCTGTATCTTCATACTAACATTCAATGCCTCATCCAGTCGAACACCTAAATCCCTTTGCACTTTGGAATTCTGCAATCATCCTGCATTTAAATTATACTCCAATTTTTCATTCTTTTCACATTTCATTCATTTCTCTCCACGGCGCCAGGGACCTGGGTTCAATTCCTCCCTTGGGTGACTTGTGGAGTTTGGACATTCTCCCTGTGTCTGCATGGATTTCTGCCAGGTGCTCCAGTTTCCTCTCACAGTCCTAAGATGTGCAGGTTAGGTGGATTGGCAATGCTATATTAACCCATGGTGTCCAGGAATATTCAGGCTAAGTGGATTAGCCATGGCAAATCCGGGTCATGAGGATAGGATGGGATGCTCTTTGGAGGATCAATGAAGACTCAATGGGCCAAATAGCCTCTTTCTACACTGTAGGGATTCTGTCATTCAAAGCAAACTGCTCCATGTTTGTTCACATTGAAATCCGTAAATGATGACGGATGAACGTACGAAACAGGAGCAGAAGTAGACCATTCTGCCCCTTGAGCCTCACCCTTCGTTCAGTCAGATTATTGGCTGACCTGTTTATGTTTCGAATTCCACATTCCCATATATACCTTATAACTGACAGCTGACTGCTAAGCTTTATTGAACCAGGCGCATTGGCTGACTCTGGTTAAGGCATTGCCCTGAGAAATGAACCAGAGAATAGCTGAAACCTGCTTTGTTGAGATGAAACAGGAGCACTGTATGTCCATTTCTTTTCTGTCTGTCAACGAGGCAGCACTTTACTCTCATACAGTATAAATATTGTTTCCCTTTTCATTGCTATTCTTGCAAATATTCCTGTTATGTTTGAAATAACTCCACAGAGACTGGTATCCTGTCACCTTGTCACGTTATATTTACTCGTGGAGCATCCTTGACAGTAATACAGCTTCCTCAGAGCTAGCTTTCAGAGTGAACAGGATGTCTGATGCCCCTGTTCTCATCTGTCAGCCAGGACTTCCTGATTGGACCAGATTAACAGCCCCAATCAGGGAACACATTCTATGAAGTCCACTTGGCTGACCTTGTTACAATCACTACAATGTACAACATGTTAAAAAATCAACAAAGTATAATTTTTAACATGGGGACATCTTTTGTTCTGAAATTGTGTTGATGTTAATTTATGCAATTTGTAGTTTCCAGCCTCGCCTTGATGAATGTGTAAAACAGATGGGAGATATCCTCAGCCAGGTCAAAGGGACTGGGAATGTACCTGCAACTGCTCGCAATAGTGTGGCTCAGGATGCCGATAATGTGCTCGGGCCATTGATGGACTTCTTAGATGGCAAGTGAGTCATGAGACAGAAAAACAAATGAGTTTTAATAGAATGTATGAGGCAGTTTGGAATAGCAACTATAAATTTCATCAGAAAGTGCACATTTCAAGTTACTGGTTGTAGTTGAAACAGACAGTTGTTGTAGAGATTATTTTCTACTAATGCTGTTCCAATACTGGACTATTAATTGAAAATTAACCTGACATAACAAAAAAAAACAAAATATCCTGTGCCATCCCTAACAGTCCTGCCCTCTTGTTATCCAGTTGCCCAATTTAACCTCTTCTTTTTCTTTATTGTCTTTATTTGCTGTTTGTTATATAACCAGATGCTTTGCATCTCTGTCTTAAAATACAAACCTAAGTGGAGAAGTTTCTTCCTATTTACCCTATCTATGCACCTCAAAAATTTGTACACCTCAATCTGATTCCTCCCCCCACCCTCAGCCTTCTCTGTTCTGTGGAAAACAACTCCAGCGTACCTAGTCGGTCTCCGTAGCTGAATTGTCCAGCATAGTGAACATCCTGGTGAATCTCTTCAGTACATCCACCAGCTTCCCTTTATCTGTGTTGCTTCCACAAAGAAATTAGATAAATTGGTTTGACATAACTTTCCTTTGACAAAACCAAAACATGGAAATATTTGACAATACATATTCCATATTCAAATATCCTAAATATCCTGACTGAATTGAACAGCATTTCTGAGTAGCAAAAAGTAACCAACTCAAATTAGGTTATTTTCCTTTTTATTTAATTTGCAGTCTGACATTGTTTGCAAAAGTCTGTGAAAAGACAGTGCTGAAACGAGTTCTCAAGGAACTGTGGAAAATTGTGGTGAACACAATAGAAAGGACTATTGTGCTGCCTCCTCTAACTGATCAGTCGGTAAGTAACTAAAATATCGGTGATATTTTTCCAAGAGGTTATGCTGGTTTCAATCTGCAAGTTCAGTATTATGCATGTTTAAAATGACATAGAATTACACATAATATAGACAGTTTGCGCTCCACTTGAGCCTCCTCCAATCCTTCCTCACGTAATACAAAATGTAACCGTCTATTCCCTATTCTTTCATATGCTTATTGCAACCTCCCCTTAAAGGTTTTTATACCATATGCCTAAACTGTGCTATGTTTCACATTCCTAAATCTTGTATTTTAATTTGCAAAACAAATTTGGTTTTTTTTTTGTATATGTACAGAATATTATGGTGTGTAGGCAGTGTAGTCATGCTGGCCCTTCGACAATTGAACAACAGCATCTAGGCTTACTTGTAGCAGAAAATGGATAATGTATGTTTTGAGCAGTTTAAATCAGTGCTATATTATACTGTACGCTGTTTATGTGCACCAACTCAATGAGCTTTGATAGGTCAGCTAGCTTGGGCATGTCTTGGGCTGGTGAATTATTATGGAAAGTTCATACATAACCTGGTCTCCATCCTGGGATCTTTGCATCATCTCCTAAAAAAAGGTCAGCCTTGGAAATGGTGGCATAGACAAGCCCTAGCTTTCAGTGCAGTAAAAAAGCAGGTGTCATCCTTTAAGGTGTTGGCACACTGTGATCCCAGGCAAGGTCTGGTGCTGACATGCGATGCCTCCCCGTACCGTATCAGACTATTATGAGCTCAGAGGTGGCCCGATGGAGAGGAGCGCCGAATAGCATATGCATCCAGGACTTTGGATAATGCAGAGCGTGAATACGCTCAGATAACAAAAGAAGGACTGGCGGTCATATTTGGGGTCAGGAAGTTCCAATAATACCTTTATAGTTGAAAATTTGTGATGATCATGGACCACAACCCCCTACTTGGTCTGCTTCAAGACGGCAAGGCAGAACTGCTCGTAGCTTCAGGTCGCATTCAGTGGCGGGCTCTAATACGAAGTGCTTATAAATACAAATTAAACAATGTCTGGAAGGCCAAGTAGCAAATGCAGATGTCTTGAGTCATCTCCCGCTGGCAGATACACCACCAGTGGTGCTGCCACTGGAAGAGTCGTTCTAGTTTTAAACATTTTGGGCACCCTTCCGATCACTGCTGACAATATCAGACAGTGGACGCAAAAAGATCTGGTCCCGGCAAAACTAAAACAGCTGGTGGTGATGAGGGTAACAAAAAACCCATTACAACCAGAATTGAAACCTTTCTGGACCCAGCGAGACCAGATCACTGCAGAAAATAGCATTTTATTATGGGGAACAAGAGTGATTGTCCCAAGCAAAGGTCACCACCAGATACTGGCTGCATTCCATCAAGTCATCCAGGGATGTCCAAAATGAAGATGTTAGCAAGAAGTTATGTCTGGCCAGGATTTAGATGCAGGCATAGCCGCATTGGTGGGGCATTGCCCAGAGTGCCAACAAGGACAAAAAGTACAGTCAGCAGCTCCCTCAGATTTGTGGGAATGGCTCGGTAAACCCTGGACTCGGTTACACGTCGACTATGCTGATCCTTTCAATGTTCCTAGTTATTGTGGATGCACGCTCAAAGTGATTGGACATGCACGGAGTTCATTCGTCAAACACGAGGACAATGATAGAAAAGCTGTGAGCATCTTTTTCAATACACAGATTTCCACGTGTTGCTCACAGACAATGTCATCGTCTACCAGCAGGGGATTTGAGTATTTTCTGAAGTCGCATGGCATTCGGCATATAAAGACCACTCCATACTATCCATCATCCAATTGTCTGGCAGAAAGAGCAGTCCAAACTTTGAAGGCAGGCTTAAAGAAGCAGTCTACAGCTTTACTTGATACCAAACTGACCCAGTTCCTATTTGATTATTGGACCACCCCTCATGCAACTACAGAGATCACTCCAGCAGAGTTGCCAATGGAGAGAATACACTGACCTTGCTGGACCTGGAGGTGGAGGGTGGAATGGCATCTGGAACACCAGTTCCAGACACAAGACTCCTCTAGTCGAGAGAGAAAGTTTACTTCAGGGATGAAGTTTGGTGCCGTAACCTTGGAAATGAGGCATGGTTGACATGAGGTCAGATCCCATGATGTACAAAGTTTGGGTAGGCAAGGCAGTCTTGAACAAGCATGTGGACCATATGAAAGGTGCAAAACATATCTGGCCCCTCAGAACAGCCAGAAAGGCTGTGTCAGTACCCATGGGTTCTCCCCCTCCATCTCACATCAAAGAAACCTCAGAATCTGAGATGGATACGGTGGATGTCACAGCCTTGATGCCTTTTAGCACCTTAAGGTTTATGAAAACATGAGGGGCATGGATAGTCTGAATAGCCAAGGTCTTTTTCCTTAGGATAGCAGAGTCCCTTAAGGGCATAGGTTTAAGATGAAAGGAAAAAGATTTAAAAGGGAACTAAGGGGCAACGTTTTCATGCAGAGGGTGATGCGTATATGGAATGAGTTGCCAGAGGCAGTGGTGGAGGCGGGTGTAATTATAACATTGAAAAAGCATCTGGTTAGGTACTTGAATTTGAAGGGTTTAGAGGAATATGGGCTAAATGCTGGCAAATGGGACTAGATTAGTTTAGGATATGGTTGGCATATCGAGTTGGACTGAAAGGTCTGTTTCTGTGCTGCATACCTCTATGACTCTAAGAGGATGAATTTCTTCCAAGACCATCTGGGTGCAAGAGGCGGGAATGGTCCAACGTATGCTGCCTGTATCCAAGGCTGAGATGGAGGAACCGGACTCTACGTGAAAACAACCCATGAGAGGCTACAAGAAAAAGAGCAGGCCTACGTCCCCAGGCTTAGAGAGGGAGGGATGTAATGACTCTAACAAGGTCAGCCAGGTGGACCTCATGGAATATGAGTTCCCTGATTGGTGGTGTTAATCTGGTCTGATCAAGGAGTCTTGGCCTTCAGATATAAACAGGATCACCAGAGGTTCTGTTCACTTCAGCAACGCGCCAGACCAGTTTCAAGTGCTATGCGCATGTAAATAAAAGGTGATTTGCTGACGGGATACCGGCCTCTGTAGAGTCCATTTGTCAAAGACAGGGATGACGATAGAAAAAGTGTGCAATCTTTTTTCGATATATGGACTCCTAGAAGTGTTGGTCACAGATAATGGACCATCATTTCCCAGCTGAGAATTTGAATATTTCCCATAGTTGAATGGGATTTGACTTAGAAGGACAGCTCCATACCATCCATCATCCAATGATATGGCAGAAAGAGCTGCCCAAACTTTGAAGCCTGGCTTGAAGAAACAGCCGACAGCCTTGCTGGATTCCAAGCTGTCGCAGTTCATATTTGATTGTAGGACCATCCCACATGCAACTACAGGGATAGCACCAGCAGAGCTGCTAATGGATAGAGGAATCTGCACCAGGTTAAGTCTGATATTCCCCCATCTGGTGGAGAGGGTGAAACTGCATCAGAATACCAATGCCAGACATGATTTTGCCAAGTGAAAGGGACAGTTTAATACAGGGGATGAAGTTTAGTGCAAGAATTACAGAAATGGCCCCACATGGGTACGGGGCATGGTCAACACGAGGTCAGAACTAGTGATGTCTAAAGTTCAGGTCAATGCAACGGTCCAGAACAAGCACGTGGAACATACGAAAGCTGCAAATTCGCAAACAATGTGGGAGGAAAGTATACCCTGCCCTTGGTACAGTCAGAAAAGCTACTGCAACCCAAGAGTTCACCGTCTCTGTCAGTCATTGACAGGTTGCCTGAATCAGGGATGGACACAACGGATGTAGCCACCTCAATGCCTTAGCCGCCAGGAGAAGAGAGTGAAATTCTACTGAGGCGCTCCTGGCACAAGAGGCGAGCTCCCATACCTTATGTGCTCCTGTATCAGACACTGAGTCAGAGGAACCTGACGTGATGCTAAAATGCCCCAGAAGGCTCTCCAAGAAAACAACTGGCCTGTGTCCTCAGACTCAGAGGGAGAGGGATGTGGTGATTGTAATGAGGTCACCCAGCTGGTCCTCAAAAAATGAGTTCCTTGATTGGGGTTGTTAATCTGGTACAATCAGCATGGCTGAGAGATATAAACAAGAGTATCAGAGGTTCTGTTTTCTCTGAGAGCTGGCTCTGAAGAGGCAGTATTAAAGTCAGGGACTGGTCATGTGTAAATAAAGATGACATGGTCACAGGATACCAAGCTGTGTGGTGTTATTTCATCTTGACCCTATTTGTCTTAAACTGCTGAACCGTCTAATGTTCCCTCCTAGTCTCTATGCTTGCCAATGTTGTTAACAGTTCTCCTTGTTTGGGCATTGTTCCTCTTTCCTTCAAATTTATGATTCTCTTAAATAAAACCTTGACCCATCATCCTTGCAAACCATCTGCAACCTCCATTTCTTTTCCAAAATCGTTGGAAGTGCTGTTGCCACCAAATCCATTCTCCCTTTACCGGAATTTCATGTCTGAAACCCTTTACTTAGGTTTCCGCTCTACGTCAGAACCAAGACAGCTCTTATAACAGATTCAGGGAGGCCTAATGGTATAGTCAGTAGACTATTAATCCATAAACTCAGCTAATGTTCTGGAGACCTGGGTTTGAATCCCACCATGGCAGATGGTAGAATTTGAATTAAATTTTAAAAAATCTTGAATCTACTGATGACCATTAAAGCATTGCTGATTGCCTGAAAAATCCATCTGGCTCACCAATGTCCTTCAAGGAAGGAAATCTGTTGTCCTCACCTGGTCTGGCCTATGTGTAACTCCAGACTCTCAGCAATGTGGTTGACTCGCAACTGCTCTCCGAAATAGCCTAGCAAGCCTCTCAGTTCAAGGGCTGCTGGGGATGGGCAATAAGTGCTGGCCAGTTAGCAACTTTCAAACCCCACGAGTAAATATAAAAAATGTAAGAAATATGATAAATGTCACCAATCACATTGTATATCGTTGTGACAAGCATTTCCCTGCTCATCCTCTCGACTT